AAGTAGTAGTACGTGTGTGTGTGTGTGTGTGTGTGTGTGTGTGTGTGTGTGTGTGTGTGTGTGTGTGTGTGTGTGTGTGTGTGTGTGTGTGTGTGTGTGTACCTGTTTACGGGTCTTGCTGGCACACTCCTCCAGAGTTTCGGCCGCCTCCAGTTTGCCCTGACGACGGTACAGAGCCCCCAAGCTCTTCAGGGTTGTGTTCACAGTGGGGCTGAGAAAGAAAACGCACACACAAAAACAATGTTATTTATTTATTCACTTGTTTAATCGTTTGTATTTATCTTCAATTTAGCATCTTTGTCAATAAAGCTAATGACATTTTCAAACAAATCATTATTTTTCTCAACTAGATTACATTTTGAATGAACTGTTAAACTCAAATTGGTTTGAGTTTGACTTTTGTTCTCCTGGTACAAGGAGTAGATTTGTACTATATTGGCGTCCTTAATGTTGTTATGGAAACAGGGGATTTTTTTCATTGTAATGGTCTCTCTTGATAAACGACAAACATATTTGAACACATTTACAGCCTGGTCATATCAACACAGATTCAGTTAAGTCTGACAACCACAAGTACTCCACTACAATTCAACTGTATTTCAAAGTGTTAGCATAAATAATTGTTATTTTCTTCATGATTGTTTGAATGTTTTCAACGTGTCACTCACCTGTCCACCTTGCAGGCCTTGTACCAGCTGCCATACTCTACATACGGGCCTGAGTCCTTACGTTTACCCTGAGAGGGGCGGGGACAGAGAGAAAAATAAGAGGAAGAGAAAGATACAGAGAAGTCCTGTTTGAAACATGACACCATCAAAGCTTGTGAAACATGTCCCTGTTGTAATCTTTATAGTCTGCTGCTCTCCCTCATCACGCTGATCAGTCCTTTCTATATGGACCTGCCTGCCAGACCCAGGGATGAACAGAAAACATCAACGTCTATCACTGACCTTGCTCTCCTCTCTCTCCTCTGCGTGCATCCAGATTGGTTTGTTGTCATCTGCAAAATGAGGACCAGAGAATATCAGAAATGTTCTTTGACGGACAGGATTCACTTTACAAGGTGATAGCAGAAACAAAACCAATAAGGAACATAACACATTGCTGAAAAGATATCAAGGACCCTTTGAAGGACCTCAATTTTAAAGTGAAGCTTCTCTATTCATATATGAAGGAAATAACACAGTCTTGAATTAAAACCCATGCATTGGCCACATTCCTGTCTGGCCCTCATAAGGGTTTGATAGGCTTAGAGCAGCAGAGGGACACACGGACATTAAGCCTCTCCACACGCTGCCATGGCCCCAAATAATCCTCAGATCCGCTGAGAGGACTGAGGGCCACGGGAGAGCCATGGCTGTGCACAGAGTCTCAGACCACAACAAGAATCACAACACATAGCAATCTGTCAGAGGAATAGAAATGGATATATTCTGTTGTGAAATCAATCATTCTTCACGCCAAAAAGCCCCTGAGACCCTCTGAGACCCTCTGAGACCCAGGGGGCCGTATACCATCCCAAATATCACGTTGTGTTCAAAGCGTCATAACCAGAGACATGCCGTGTTTTCCCTCTTAAACTACAGAAACGGCAATAAACAACTATTTAGAGTTTTTCATTGAGAGGCGTTTATTTATTTCGGTGAAACTAATGTGCGTAAAGCTTTAAAAGATGCGGATAGTCTCACCTTGATTCTGGATCATTGCTTATCGTTTTGTATGTTTTATAGATCTATTCTCTTACACCGTCTTTGTTTGTGACGTAAAGAGTGTATGTTATGGAGCATTTCCCACTACAGCGTGGAGCGAGGTTTAAGCGAGCCGTGCCCGTTTTGGGTTGCGTTTCCACGAGGCGTAGTTCCGGCTAGCGGGTACTTTTTCACAGTTTTCTGGCTCTCCAAAATCGAGGTTCTTTCCGGGCCAACAACCGGGCTGAGTTTGCTAAACTAGTGAGAGAATCTACTACAACAAGATGAACATATTTGACCGTGATTTAATTGTAATACACGTTTCAAAATGATGCCGAAGTAACAACATACTGATACCGGTTAGTAAAAACCATGAATTAATGCTTTCACAAGTCTGCAGACAGACGGCAGGCGAAAAACCTTTTTAAATGCGTGTTTTCTG